GACAGACAGACAGAGAGAGAGAGAGAGAGAGAGAGAGAGAGAGAGAGAGAGAGAGAGAGAGAGAGAGAGAGAGAGAGAAGTAGTAAGGATGAATGGGAGGGTGTTGGCACCTGGAGACGTTGATATCCTTGGGGTGAAATTTGACTCCAAACTAACCATGAAGAACCATGTTGTAAATCTTGCAAACAAGGCAGCCAGGAAGCTTACAGCACTTCGCCGTATCTCGCATCTACGTACTTGACAGTAGGGGTTGCAAGATTCTGTAGGAGGCACAAGTACGCTCGCAACTTGAGTATGCTCCACTTTCTTGGTTTGCCTGCCCCCCCCCCCCTCATCTGCGACTGCTTGACAGAGTAGAGAACAGAGCAAGACGTCTTCTCATCTGTCGCCTGGACCCATCCTGGATAGATCTGTCATTTCAGCAGAGCCTTCAACATAGGAGGGATGTGGGTGGCCTTACTGTTATGTACAAGGCCAATATTGTCAAAGTACCACACTTGGATCCACTTCGAGGACAGCGTGAAACAAGCTTTTATGCCACAAGACGGGCAGAAAGCAGCAACTTCACTCTGGCTGTACCCTTCTCCAGAACATCACTCCATCTGAGATCCTATATACCCAGGATGACTCGAGTATGGAACACATTCGTACAGCATAATGATGTCAACGAGATAAAGTCAGTTGATCAAATGAAAATGCTGGCCCACAGATGGCTCCAACTTCATCCTGTTCCCTACTTGTATGTCTCATAACAATAAAAATGCTTTCAAATGAGCTGCTGTAGGTAACAGCTCTTAGCTTGCCAATAAAGTTAGGAATCCTTAACCTGTAAATAGCTTGTCAATAAAGCTAGGGATCCTTAACCTAGTCAAACCCTGTGGAAAAAAAAAAGAGATAGAGAAAGAGATAGAGAAAAAGAGATAGAGAAAGAGAGATAGAGATAGAGAAAGAATATATATATATATATATATATATATATATTTTTTTTTCAACAAGTCGGCCGTCTCCCACCGAGGCAGGGTGACCCAAAAAAGAAAGAAAATCCCCAAAAAGAAAATACTTTCATCATCAATCAACACTTTCACCACACTCGCACATTATCACTGTTTTTGCAGAGGTGCTCAGAATACAAGTCTAGAAGCATACACATATAAAGAGAGACAACATATCCCTCCAAACTGCCAATATCCCAAACCCCTCCTTTAAAGTGCAGGCATTGTACTTCCCATTTCCAGGACTCAAGTCCGACTATATGAAAATAACCGGTTTCCCTGAATGATGGTGAAAGTTTTTCTTTTTCGGGCCACCCTGCCTTGGTGGGAATCGGCCAGTGCAATAAAAAAAAAATGTGTGTATATATATATATATATATATATATAAAATATATATATATATATATATATATATATATATATATATATATATATATATATATATATATATATATATATATATATATATATATATATATAATATATATATATATATATATATATATATATATATATATATATATATATATATAAAATGACTGAGTGATACAGTAGCACTCAATAAAGAAAACATTTATAAGAGGTAACTGAAGCAAAACAAAAAATCATAACACTAGTATCACTAGAAGTTGATCATAGTAATAATGACTAGTACTAAAAAACAATACAACAAGGATTTGGAAAGTACATATACTGTAAATGGAAGAATGTAGATAATGGCACTAAGCAACTTGTAATAGTCTTATTCCACCACATTAACACAACTTCTGCTAGTCTTTTTCATGCAGAGAAGAAAAATTGGCTGGTTACCATACAAGGTTAATAACAAATATTTATAAAAACATATTTCACTGACACATGACATTGTTGATGCAATTAGCATTTATGAACAGGTTATTCCTAACATACTGTTGGATGGCAAGACGTGTTGACAAAAACAACAGGCACAAAAACCGTCTTATATTTACTGACGACGTTTTGCTGTATCTTGGGCAAAAGTCATCAAGAAATGTTTGATCTGTGGTGTCATGTTACTGTCTTATTCCTAAACAAAATTAACACAACACTACTTTAAGCTCGGCACACAAGAGAATTAATGTTATCCATCCACAATAACATCCATAACACACACAACTCTGGGTAACATTTGGAAAACATTTCTCTAACTTTTTCTAACCACTCTCTCCTTGACATTAATGTATTTATGGTGGCACTAATCCACAAACCTCCTAAGGAATATATGGCAAGTTTACTACAAAATGAAATGTTTGGAAAGTGAACCAAAAAAACACTAGAAATTTTTCATTACAAACCAAAAATATAAACAAAAGTGGTTAAGATAAACTTTTCGTCACAGAATATAATCTCTTGTGTCATTACTGAACGCATGACATCATCATTACCCTACTGAAGTCTCGCAGCCCAGGCTGACGTGTCCCATTACCTCATGTACAAAACCCATCCTGTGTGATGGTATAAGATAGGGAAATATAGCCAGCTTTTGTTCCCACTTTTGAATTACCACATAGTGTAAGGCAGTAAGCACACTGCTGATGTACCCATCATGGTCAGGTGAAGCATCTGAACCTCTTATTCCTACATTAATCTCTAATTACAAATATCAGTGGAGGTGGACTACACCACCACTGATATTTGTAATGACAGGGCCCAGGAAACACTGAATGCAGATATGCCCACTTAAGGCAGGACCAGGGACTGAGACATAACCTCTCCCCACCCCCCATGCAAACATCAGTACAGTAGTACTCATAATTTATTGTAAACAAAATAGTTTTTCTTGGAGCTGCCACGAAGTGGGTAAAAAACGATAAAAGACAAAATAATAATACAGTACCAGAATATAAATACTAATACAACTGTACTGTATTTAGGAACATATCTAATATGAAGAGGGCAATTATGTTCTGCATGACAAAGACTGCACATCACAAGAATGGCAAGAACTGGGTACCGAGAGTAATCTGGAGACACAGCAAGCTAAAGCTAGACTAGAAATTATAAGACCATGTAAGACAGATGCTTTGGAAACAATACAAATTTTAAGCATGTACATTAGTGTTAGCATTACAATATATATTTAATTTTCAAAGTGTTTGAAACATTACTCTTGGTATTTATTCCAACATCTGCAGCTTCACCCAAGCAGTAACAAGTTAGTGTGGAATTTTAGAATTACAGTACAACACATACAAATATCTGTAGGGTGTAATTCTTGAGTTTGACACGAACAACTAAAGAATAAAGATCACAATTTTAAAAAAACTTCCCTGTAATCCAAAAGTGAACAATGGTCAGTCATGCTTGAATACAAAGAAAATACAACTGAGCACTAGATGATCCATAACCCATAACCACCTACCAGAAATTATTAATTGTATCTATGCATTACCATCAGTTATGCTAATGGCAAGTTTAAAAAAAAAATTAATTTCCTTAATATTTCATGATTTTTCTCTCTCTCGTTTTCACATTACTATCACCATTTTAATTCCTAAAGAAAATCTTCCCAATAATACCATAATCCAGATTTGTTTCATATTGCCATAATGGCTAAACCAACAAAAATAATAACATGCTAATCAAACTAAGCACTAAATCAGAAAGGGTCATACAGTGATGCAGAGTGGGAATGTGCTAAAGAAAGAATATGCAGAGGTGTAGCAGGAGTGTGCAAGAGTGTGGGTTAGTGGGGCTAGAGGAGAATGCTTAAGGATAAATATAGTCAAAGTTGTTGCAATAAGTTAGTTTCTATTAGAAAGTCAAAGAGTCTGGATCAGAGTGTAGACTTTCAGCGAAGAGGTCAGTTAAAGTGAGCATGATAGGGCGAAGGAGATGTTGGGAAGTAAATTCCGTGTCCACTGGTAGACAAGGCAATCTAATAAGATGTGGTGAACTGACAATGCAACCTGGCAATCCTCACAGAGCCGTGCCTGGCATTTGTCCATGAGGTACCTGCGAGTGAAGTGCATGTGGTTGATATGTAGGCTAGAGAGCAGTTTCCCTAACACATCAGCGGTGAGAAGGCCGGAAATCCAAACGTGATTTCACAAAGCAATTTACTATGCACCAACTTGAATCACTGTTATTGCCAGCAGTTCCCAAGTTAGAGAGATGACTAAAAAAAAAAAAAAACTGTGAGAGAGGAAGACCCCTTTACGAAACTGTGAGGTTACAAACAAACGACCACAACATACAAAAACATTGTCACCAGAGTTAACTGAAAGTTCTTTAATACATGGAGGGTGGTTAGGTAGCAAAATTATCCAGGTGAAAAAGTAGGTAGAATTAGATACTATACACAGTTTTAAATAGTAGGCATGACAGTGCCTATGAGGGCAGGGATAGTTTGTGACAAAGTAGCTGAGAGGCAAGAGTAGCTAGAGCCAAGACTCAACACACCAGCAACAAACAGGTGGGTACAAACAGGTGGGTACAAATAGGTGGGTACAAATGGGCAGGTACATATAATGACAATAAAATAACCCTTTAAATAAATAAGCATCGATTAATATTATAAATGCCTATTAAGGAACTAATGATCAAAATGGGAACCGAGTGTTAAAAAAAAAAAAAAGGCCAATGCAAGGGTAAAAAATAATATAACTGAGCAGATGACACGCAGATAAAATACAAGACGCTCCTGAGTGAACCAAACCAATGATAAGGTACTAATGAGCTTCACAATAACAGTTTCATCTGTGTCATTCTTAAGCTTTGCATGAATTGCTCAGGAATATAAACCACATTAAATATATTATACACACCTTTTAGGCTACTTAAATCAGAACAAAAAAATTACACTAGAGTGACTAAACAAATCACAGCATCATACATAACTGGCAATTAAGAAATAAACAAAACTTCGTGTCAGGAACACTGCTCAGAGCAAAGTGAAAAACATCTTGGTGAGAGAGCTGTAATTTTTTTTTATTTTAATGGCCATCTCTCACCAAGGCAAGGTGACCCAAAAAAAGAAAACACATTAACCATTATTCATTCAATTGTTTACTTCAAATTTACAGATTTCTCTTGCTCGTATTACACACACAGATAACCCACAAATAAGAGACAATCTTATGATGACTTTTGGTCCAACTTGGACCATTAATTAGCGACTAACTAGTTAATGGGGTTATCTGGGTATCGTTCCAGTCACGATATTGTGCCTTTAAATTCTCATGCTACATACTATTTTTGTGATGGTGGCTTCTTTGTAAGAAATAATAACTATATTACAGAGATCAAAAATTAATACTATGTCATGTGATCAAGAGGCAGCCAATACACACACAATAAATCTTTACAAAATATCAGTACTACACTGCAACAGGTAAATATTGATTGTGCTAAAACCTTTGTGCAACATGGACAAATGTTCAAGAAGTATTCACCTATCATTATTGTAAATTTGCACTTCTGGCCAATCAATTTTATCACATAAATCACGAAATGACTGGGGCTTTAACTCATGGCAAGAGTCCTGAAACACGCAGGCCAGTGCGTTACAAACTTCTCTGGTTTTGGTATAAATACAGAACTAAATTCCTTTTAAAGTTCACGTACAAATGACCATTTAAATATTTTTAGCTGAATATATATATGCAATATCAACATTAAAGAAATATGTATCTGAACATTTTCTTCTTGTAAAAAAACTCATTATACAGGACCACAGATAGTATATCTACACATATATACCAATAAGATGAAAAAAATGACGAAACATTGTGGAGGCTTGATCCTCCGTCTGCAGAGTAAGAGACAGACGTGCTTTCTATTAGTACTCACAATGCACAGGTGAGTACAAGATGCACGTCTGTCTCACACTTAGCAGATGGAGGATCAAGCCTCCGCAACATCTTGCAGTAGAATCCCCGTATCCACGGATTCTGTATCTGCAGTTTCACTTATACGCAGTTTACTGTGGCCCCAAAATACCTCTTAATTTTGCATAATAATGGTCCCAAAGCACAAAAGTGATGATGGTGGCAGTTCTTCAAAACCTAAGAGAAGCTGTGAAGTGCTTCTCATCAATGAAAAAGTGCTAATTCTAGACTTATTTTGAATAATTTATTAAATAAACTTTATCATAGGTATGTATGTAAACAAAAAATGACTCGTGTACTGGGTTTGCTACTATCCACAGTAGGTCTTGGAAAGTATCCCCCCCCGGCGGATATGGAGGGACTACCGTATTTATATTTTGTTTACTGAGGCTACTTTCCCAAGCGATGCATTTATAAGCCACAAAACAAATGAGATCTGAACCCATGGCTAGCGAGTTCTAAAGCACTGGCCTGTGATTTTAGGAATTGCTTGAAGTGGGTTCGAACCCCATTTCACATTTTCAATTACAAGATGTAATATAAAACAGGTAAAAACAAAAAATCCCTGGTTTCATTAACTTGTGCGGCACACTTGTGTCAGGGACACAAAGCAAGTTGTATCAAGGTACACAAAGACAATGACAAGGTTGTCTTAAGAAATTATAAATACATTTTAACCATTTAGAAATTATGCACATATACATATTTGTTTTCTTTCCTATAAATCATTCACTTCCTACATTCGTGATTCATACGACTTTTCATAAACATATAGACTAATACAGTGTATTAAAATTTAGAACAGCCACATTTATAAAACTGTAAACCATGATAAAACTCTCAACACTTTGGCTTAAGTGCATAAGAAAATTCCATACATAACTATACTGGCATTCCAATGTTCCCAGAGATAAACATCAACAGCTGTGGCAAGCAACAATATTTACTTCCAAAATGCCCCCCAAAAATCTTTATAACAAGTTGCCATTGGCAAATATGTTGTCAGGGTCAAAATATTGTTTAACAGCCCTGATGGCACCCAAGCTGGGCTCCGAGAAGGTCTGATTCATCCACTGACGTCGGATCTTGCCTACGCCATGGTGGTGGGAGATGCTGCCACCACATCCCAGGATTTCATTACGAGCATTACCCTGAAAAATGGCATTCATGGTAAGATCACAGAGGCAAGACATAAGTAACACTTTTTTTTTTTTTTTTTTTTTAAAGTCGGTCATCTCCCACCGAGGCAGGGTGACCCAAAAAAGAAAGAAAATCCCCCAAAAGAAAATACTTTCATCATCATTCAACACTTTCACCTCACTCACACATAATCACTGTTTTTGCAGAGGTACTCAGAACACAACAGTTTATAAACATATACCTATAAAGATACACAACATATCCCTCCAAACTGCTAATATCCCGAACCTCTCCTTTAGAGTGCAGGCATTGTACTTCCCATTTCCAGGACTCAAGTCCGGCTATATAAAAAATAACCGGTTTCTCTGAATCCCTTCACTAAATATTACCCTGCTTGCACTCCAACAGATCGTATAAGGAATAAAAGGGTACAAGACCATGACTAGAACAATTCACAAATGACACATACTTAGGAGAAGAACCTGTAATATTCTGGTTCATCCTGGACCAAGCTCTCACTTGATGATGGTCCATTATGGACTGAAATATTATTATAAGTTTCCTCTCTTATGTTAAGAATTATATGTGAAGAAGGTACATGTATCTTTCTTCATTATCTAGTGACAATATGAAACAATTAGAAAAATGGAATTACGTTATGTAATTCTTAAATGCTATTTTACACAAAAAACAGACTTTATTACAAGTCACACATTCTTGAATTAATTACAAGATATATTTTGTCATTTAACCATTTTGAGACACTACTTAGAACTATTTCTTTAATCAGATATGAATCTTAAAATGTTAATTTATAATCTCACCTCAATCTCTTCATAAACATGCACAGGATCTGAGAGGCCTCTATAGTTGAAGGCAAAATAGAAGTACACACAGGCTCCAGCATCATAGGTCTGAGTTACTCGGCATGTAACAAAGGTGTGTTGGATTCCTTTAGCTGTAAAATCATAATATTAATTAAATTACCCAGCTTAATTTATATTTACAAGATAAAAATATATGATAATGCCATGAATATTATGGCACACAACACAGCATGGTGATTTGATTCTCATTACCCACAGAGGCACTATCATAGAGGTAGCTAGCTCTATGGTAGTGCTTTCAGCTCACTGATTGTAGGGATTCTGCTTCAGTTTCCAGGTTGGGCAAAACGTATAAACATGTTACCTCACACCTACTGCTAAGTGAGCAGGGCAACAAATACTTGGGCATTAGGTGATTTGTAGATTACATCTTAGTGGGGGAGGCAGTATAACTTAGAGCTGAGTTTTTGGAACAACCTAAGGTATGACAAACATTTTTAACTGGTAAATATAAGAGAAACATACTGGGAAAACTGGGACTGCTCTAAAGGGACCCTAAGAGACATGATTGGTAAGCCTAGTTCCCAGACTTGGTGTAATAAGTGATGGAGTGAGTGATGATAAAGCGTTTCTTCTTTTTCGTGTCACCCTGGCTCAGTGGGAAATGGCCACTATATTAAAAAAAAAAAGTTATAAACCTTGGTAATTGATAATGACAAATTAGTTCAACAAGACATGCATTCGCCCACGTGTCTTTTTTATACCACATGTACATATAAGGAAATTGACAAACAAATCCTCAATGAAATAAGAACATAAGAAAGGAGGAACACTGCAGGAGGCCTGTTGGCCCATACTAGGCAGGTCCTTTACAATTCATCCCACTAACAAAACATTTGCCCAACCCAATTTTCAATGCCACCCAAGAAATAAGCTCTGATGTGAAAGTCCCACTCAAATCCAACCCCTCCCACTCATGTACTTATCCAACCTAAATTTGAAACTACCCAAACTCCCAGCCTCAATAACCCAACTAGGTAGACTGTTCCACTCATCAACTACCCTATTTCCAAACCAATACTTTCCTATGTCCTTTCTAAATCTAAACTTATCTAATTTAAATCCATTACTGCGGGTTCTCTCTTGGAGAGACATCCTCAAGACCTTATTAATATCCCCTTTATTAATACCTATCTTCCACTTATACACTTCGATCAGGTCTCCCCTCATTCTTCGTCTAACAAGTGAATGTAACTTAAGAGTCTTCAATCTTTCTTCATAAGGAAGATTTCTAATGCTATGTATTAATTTAGTCATCCTACGCTGAATGTTTTCTAACAAATTTATGTCCATTCTGTAATATGGAGACCAGAAATGAGCTGCATAATCTAGGTGAGGCCTTACTAATGATGTATAAAGCTGCAGTATGACCTCTGGACTTCTGTTGCTTACACTTCTTGATATAAATCCCAGTAATCTATTTGCCTTATTACGTACACTTAGGCATTGCTGTCTTGGTTTAAGGATGCTGCTCACCATAACCCCCAAGTCCTTTTCGCAATCTGTATGGCTAAGTTCTACATCATTTAACTTATAAGTACTAGGGTTATGGGCACTCCCAAGCTTCAGAACCTTGCATTTATCTACATTGAACTGCATCTGCCACTTTTCTGACCAAGAATAGAGTTTGTTTAAATCCTCCTCAAGTTCCATAACATCTACGTTTGAATCAATTATCCTACCTATCTTTGTGTCATCGGCGAATTTGCTCATATCACTAGTAATTCCCTCATCAAGATCATTGATATATATTATAAACAACAACGGGCCCAAGACTGATCCCTGTGGAACGCCACTTGTTACAGATAATCAAACATCGAAGCAAATAAACTTGAATAAACTAACCTTTACATTCCGACTTGATCCGATGCTTCACATTATGGCAGAGAGTGTAAACACGATCCCAGGGAACGGATGTTTCAAAAGATTCAGCAACTATGCCGTAATCAAATCCCAAGTCCTAGAAAATAGTGTTCAACACTTTTAAGGATGTAACTAAACACTACTAAGATGTTTACAAATTAGTTTTCTATAGACAAGAGTAACTTAATATAAATCTATGACATAGCAACTACTTTTAACAAGGAATTAAATTGCAAGTACTTTTGCAACCTCTATCACCTTCTGAAGGAATGTGGCTAAGAATGTGATCAAGAGGTCACAGAGACAACTGGAATTTAAGTCCCTTGAGCATCATTAAATTATCTTTGCATGTGTCGTAAAAAAGAAAAAATAGATGGAAGGAAAAGATAACTTTCCACAAGAAAACCACAACATCAAAGCCCATAACTCAATGTGGTACACAATGAACATTTTATAAATGCAGAAAAATGAAAGTCACAACTCCTTGGCTAGAACAATTTACAAGTATCCCACAATTTGCAGCAGAAACTTAAGACGTTATGATGTGTCATCGACCATGATTAAACCAAAATTTGATAATGGTACAGGATGGACCAAAACATCTAAAGTTTCACCTTCAAATAATGGGTTATTAGTGTAATAATGTTGGTAGAATTACTGACAGTATGTAAAGTAAAAGGACACAACCAACTAATGTGACATTTTTATTGTGGCAACGTTTCGCTCTCCAGGAGCTCCTGGATAGCAAAATGTTACCACAATAAAAATGTCACATTACTTGCACTTGTGTCCTTTTACTTTACATATTAGTGTAATACAGACAACTGTTCATAATAAGAGGAATTCTGATGACAACCATGCTCATGCGCAGACAGAACCTACAGCATATAATGCAGAGGTATCAATTATGTAAGAGCATGAGCTCACCCGTATGTAAGCTATGACAAATGTCAACATGTAGCCTCTCTCCCCATTAGCTTCACCTGCTGGGATGCCTTTATTGTTGAGTGCTATGGCATATAACCGCTTCTCTTGTGAAGTCACCTCCTGCTCACAACCTGTTGGAAAATAACGTCTTCATTGTGTCATCTTAAACATTAAACACTCATGTGCAGTACTGACACAACACTGAATGCTTATATCCAGATCTACTTGCTCTTATTTCACCAACTGATGCTATCTTGTTATTGTCTCCACCATACACCAGATAAATTATCAGAGTAACTCAGTCTACAATATACTGTTTTTGTGTTTTGCTCATTATCTGGCACATCTAAAAATTCAATGATGCACCTATGATATACTTGTGACCAATTTTGAGTTTTTATACCCTCGTAGCCTGGCCCGGGACCAGACGTTTCTGTTGATTGTCTTCTGAACCAGACTGTTGCTGTTACCAGCCCATTGGGCTATTACGATAAACTTTATAAACCCTAGGCTCTGTTAGTCTAGGGGACTTTTTGAAAGAGAATTGTTCTCCAGTCCTATCGTAATAAGGTTGTAGGGTGATCAACAAACATTTTAAAATGTATCTTTAATACAGAATAGATATTGTTAAAGACAAAGTATATATATAATATATATATAGACTTTATATATTACTTAAAGATGAAGACCTTCAATTTTTGTTGTATGAACCTTTCATATACAGTTGACAAAAGTTACATTATTTCCTATTTTCTAAGGAGATTAGGATAATGGCTTAGCAAACTTGAAGTCTCCACAGACGAGAACTTCTGTTTAAGGAAAATTTCACAATTTCTGGTGACTTTAAGAGAGTAAAGTGAGTAAGCTGTGGAGACCTTCTCTACACAGAGAGAAGTGTTGAACTGTTTAATCTACCCCACTCACACCTGACGTCAGCTCGCTTCAGGCGAGTAGTGTAGAAGTGAGGATAAACAAATTGGTAGTTATCCATTTCCACAGCAGAATAAATATATACATATAATGAAAAATGGGAAAGGTGAAAATGAATATTTAATATTATAAAGCTGATTACTCTCGTTTTAGCATTTAACGATAGTAATCGCAATATAATATTAGAAAGATGAGCAAATATGAAAGACATATATTATAACTGCATCTCTGCGTAACATAGGCCATACAGCCATGACAGCCTGGTTCATAACACTTGACAACAGACAAAAGATACTCACAGAAAATTCATCTTGCTCAGTACCTACACCATAAAGCATTCTCTTTGGAGCAAGAATATGTAAAGGTCCTACCACATTTTACTAGTTCTTCATCAACAGTCACTTACATTTAATCTTACTCCATTCCTATCTCCCAGTATTCATATTACCATATTTCAAATTAGACAGAATTCTTCCTCCGTAAACCATGCGTGTTGTAAGAGGTGACTAAAATGCCAGGAGCAAGGGGCTAGTAACCCCCTTCTCCTGTATACATTACTAAATTTCTAAAGAGAACCTTTTGCTTCTCTTTTTGGGCCACTCTGCCTCAGTGAGTTATGGCTGGTACGTTGAAAAATGATGATTTCAAATTAACCCTTAAACGGTCCAAACGTATACATATGTTCTCTCGCGTAGCACCCCAAACATATATGTACGTTTCACTTGTCATTCACTTAACATTGGCACGATATGCCTGAGTCGCCTAGACATGAGAGAATAGGTGTGCGCACTCAGTGTGTGCCATATGAAAAAAAATTGGGGATGCCTGGGTACCATATGCTCTTTTTTCCTATAAAAAAAAACTATTTTTTTTTCCCCAAATATTCGGGGCACTGCGCGAGAGAACGTACATATACGTTTGGACCGTTTAAGGGTTAAACATTAACTTTAGCAAGAATACTATATTCAAAAATAGAAACTTTTATGATATTACATTATTGTTAGTGTTTTACCTTGTTATATAAAAACTCTAAACACTGTTATAATGACTGATGGAAAAATAATCTTAAGCTCACCTGACAACCAAATCACCAAAAAGAATTCTACAACAAATTTTTAAAATAATAAGAATTAAAACTGACACTACCATTACTGCAACAATTCTCAATTCACCCAAGATTTGTAGGGAAAACTTTAAAGCCATTATAATGGTACAATTTTGAATACATGTATTAGTAATAATCCCTTAAAGACATGAATAATGTGTTAGGAATGTAAAATACACTTAAAAATGGAAGGATCCACAGTACCTTCAAAGAGGAGAGTTGCAACACACATTAAGTTCACATCAAATCCTCGAATGCGTGTGATATATACTTTCTTGATGCCATCGGTCAGCAAACCCAACAAGCCAGTCGGAGGCTTCAGAGCATGGCCTAAAGGAAAAAAGAAAACTAATTAAATATTCAAGAAGTTGGAGTGTGAGCAGAGTAATATTTAGTGAAGGGATTCAGGGAAACCGGTTATTTTATATAACCGGACTTGAGTACTGGAAATAGGAAGTACAATGCCTGCACTTTAAAGGAGGGGTTTGGGATATTGGCAGTTTGGAGGGATATGTTGTGTATCTCTATACGTATATGCTTCTAAACTGTTGTATTCTGAGCACCTCTGCAAAAGCAGTGATAATGTGTGAGTGTGGTGAAAGTGTTGAATGATGATGAAAGTATTTTCTTTTTGGGGATTTTCTTTCTTTTTTTTGGGTCACCCTGCCTCGGTGGGAGACGGCCGACTTGTTGAAAAAAAAAAAAAAAAAAAAAAAAAAAAATAATAATAATAATAATAATAATAATAATAATAATAATAATAATAATAATAATAATAATAATAATAATGATTGAATGATGGTGAAAGTGTTTCTTCTTTTCAGGTCACCCTATTTTGGTGGCAGACAGATGATGTGTTAAAAACAAAGATAGTAATAATGATGGGGAAGGACAGAATGATGAAGAGCAAGTGTAAATCTGTAACAAAAGTAGATGCCCATAGAATAAAATGTAATTAAACAAGATTTTCGGTTCATCAAACAGATGAAGTAAAGTTTCCTCAGAACTCGACTCACTAATGCTTCCATAAAATATTACAGTAATGAATTTTGATGCCACATAATATTTACAAAGAGGAATATCATCAGTGTTAAAGAAGACTACAACATACACCATCTCTTACCAAATTTAAACTGTTCATTATCCATTAAGCGAATGGAGGCAGGCTGGCAGCGGTGTAGTGCAACTTCTCGCATGCAGCTCACTCCACTGGCGAAGTCTGGGAAAGCAATGGAACCATAGCGCTGGATGATAGGCAGAGGTCGAACCTTAATGGTCACTTCTGTTATCACACCTAATGTACCTGTGGACCCATTAGTAATAATAATAATTATAATGATGTCCTCTGTAGTATACAGGTAATGTAGTTTACATGTAATAAATACTGTTAAGCACAAAGAAAGCCACTAGCACGCTGGGCATTTCAGGCAGACTAATCCTAATGCTTAAATACTTAAGAACTAGACATGGGTTATTAAGTAGGTTTATAAATGTACAAAAATGAGAGGTAGCTAAATGAACAATAGTAAAAATAAACAAATTTCTTTTACATCATACAAACAATGACTTTTCCATTAACTGACTGATGAGGCTATGAAATTTCTGATTAAAACAATAGATTAGTCTAGGCACAGTTTCTTTAATACAATATTTTTTTTTTTTTTTTTTTTATTATCACACCGGCCGATTCCCACCAAGGCAGGGTGGCCCGAAAAAGAAAAACTTTCACCATCATTCACTCCATCACTGTCTTGCCAGAAGGGTGCTTTACACTACAGTTTTTAAACTGCAACATTAACACCCCTCCTTCAGAGTGCAGGCACTGTACTTCCCATCTCCAGGACTCAAGTCCGGCCTGCCGGTTTCCCTGAATCCCTTCATAAATGTTACTTTGCTCACACTCCAACAGCACGTCAAGTATTAAAAACCATTTGTCTCCATTCACTCCTATCAAACACGCTCACGCATGCCTGCTGGAAGTCCAAGCCCCTCGCACACAAAACCTCCTTTACCCCCCCCCTCCAACCCTTCCTAGGCCGACCCCTACCCCGCCTTCCTTCCACTACAGACTGATACACTCTTGAAGTCATTCTGTTTCGCTCCATTCTCTCTACATGTCCGAACCACCTCAACAACCCTTCCTCAGCCCTCTGGACAACAGTTTTGGTAATCCCGCACCTCCTCCTAACTTCCAAACTACGAATTCTCTGCATTATATTCACACCACACATTGCCCTCAGACATGACATCTCCACTGCCTCCAGCCTTCTCCTCGCTGCAACATTCATCACCCACGCTTCACACCCATATAAGAGCGTTGGTAAAACTATACTCTCATACATTCCCCTCTTTGCCTCCAAGGACAAAGTTCTTTGTCTCCACAGACTCCTAAGTGCACCACTCACTCTTTTTCCCTCATCAATTCTATGATTCACCTCATCTTTCATAGACCCATCCGCTGACACGTCCACTCCCAAATATCTGAATACGTTCACCTCCTCCTACTCTCTCCCTCCAATCTGATATTCAATCTTTCATCACCTAATCTTTTGTTATCCTCATAACCTTACTCTTTCCTGTATTCACCTTTAATTTTCTTCTTTTGCACACCCTACCAAATTCATCCACCAATCTCTGCAACTTCTCTTCAGAATCTCCAAGAGCACAGTGTCATCAGCAAAGAGCAGCTGTGACAACTCCCACTTTGTGTGTGATTCTTTATCTTTTAACTCCACGCCTCTTGCCAAGACCCTCGCATTTACTTCTCTTACAACCCCCATCTATAAATATATTAAACAACCACGGTGACATCACACATCCTTGTCTAAGGCCTACTTTTACTGGGAAAAAATTTCCTTCTTTCCTACATACTCTAACTTGAGCCTCACTATCCTCGTAAAAACTCTTCACTGCTTTCAGTAACCTACCTCTACACCATACACTTGCAACATCTGCCACATTGCCCCCCTATCCACCCTGTCATACGCCTTTTCCAAATCCATAAATGCCACAAAGACCTCTTTAGCCTTATCTAAATACTGTTCACTTATATGTTTCACTGTAAAACACCTGGTCCACACACCCCTACCTTTCCTAAAGCCTCCTTGTTCATCTGCTATCCTATTCTCCGTCTTACTCTTAATTCTTTCAATTATAACTCTACCATACACTTTACCAGGTACACTCAACAGACTTATCCCCCTATAATTTTTGCACTCTCTTTTATCCCCTTTGCCTTTATACAAAGGAACTATGCATGCTCTCTGCCAATCCCTAGGTACCTTACCCTCTTCCATACATTTATTAAATAATTGCACCAACCACTCCAAAACTATATCCCCACCTGCTTTTAACATTTCTATCTTTATCCCATCAATCCCGGCTGCCTTACCCCCTTTCATTTTACCTACTGCCTCACGAACTTCCCCCACACTCACAACTGGCTCTTCCTCACTCCTACAAGATGTTATTCCTCCTTGCCTATACACGAAATCACAGCTTCCCAAATCTTCATCAACATTAACAATTCCTCAAAATATTCCTTCCATCTTCCCAATACCTCTAACTCTCCATTTTAATAACTCTCCTCTCCTATTTTTAACTGACAAATCCATTTGTTCTCTAGGCTTTCTTAACTTGTTAATCTCACTCCAAAACTTTTTCTTATTTTCAACGAAATTTGTTGATAACATCTCACCCACTCTCTCATTTGCTCTCTTTTTACATTGCTTCACCACTCTCTTAACTTCTCTCTTTTTCTCCATATACTCTTCCCTCCTTGCATCACTTCTACTTTGTAAAAACTTCTCATATGCTAACTTTTTCTCCCTTACTACTCTCTTTACATCATCATTCCACCAATCGCTCCTTTCCCTCCTGCACCCACTTTCCTGTAACCACAAACTTCTGCTGAACACTCTAACACTACATTTTAAACCTACCCCATACCTCTTCGACCCATTGCCTATGCTCTCATTAGCCCATCTATCCTCCAATAGCTGTTTATATCTTACCCTAAAATGCCTCCTCTTTTAGTTATAAACCTTCACCTCTCTCTTCCTGATGCTTTATTCTCCTTGTATCCCATCTACCTTTTACTCTCAGTGTAGCTACAACTAGAAAGTGATCTGATATATCTGTGGCCCCTCTATAAACATGTACATCCTGAAGTCTACTCAACAGTTTTTATCTACCAATACATAATCCAACAAACTACTGTCATTTCGCCCTACATCATATCGTGTATACTTATTTATCCTCTTTTTCTTAAAATATGTATTACCTATAACTAAACCCCTTCTATACAAAGTTCAATCAAAGGGCTCCCATTATCATTTACACCTGGCACCCCAAACTTACTACCACACCCTCTCTAAAGTTTCTCCTACTTTAGCATTCAAGTCCCCTACCACAATTACTCTCTCACTTGGTTCAAAGGCTCCTATACATTCACTTAACATCTCCCAAAATCTCTCTCTCTCCTCTGCATTCCTCTCTTCTCCAGGTGCATACACGCTTATTATGACCCACTTCTCGCATCCAACCTTTACTTTAATCCACATAATTCTTGAATTTACACATTCATATTCTCTTTTCTCCTTCCATAACTGATCATTTAACATTACTGCTACCCCTTCCTTTGCTCTAACTCTCTCAGATACTCCAGATTTAATCCCATTTATTTCCCCCCACTGAAACTCTCCTACCCCCTTCAGCTTTGTTTCGCTTAGGGCCAGGACATCCAACTTCTTTTCATTCATAACATCAGCAATCATCTGTTTCTTGTCATCTGCACTACATCCACGCACATTTAAGCAACCCAGTTTTATAAAGTTTTTCTTCTTCTCTTTTTTAGTAATTGTATACAGGAGAAGGGGTTACTAGCCCATTGCTCCCGGCATTTTAGTCGCCTCATACGACACGCATGGCTTACGGAGGAAAGATTCTTTTCCACTTCCCCATGGACAATAGAAGAAATAAAAAAGAACAAGAGCTATTTAGAAAAAGGAGAAAAACCTAGATGTATGTATATATATATATGCATGTGCGTGTCTGTGAAGTGTGACCAAAGTGTAAGTAGGAGTAGCAAGATATCCCTGTTATCTTAGCGTGTTTATGAGACAGAAAAAGAAACCAGCAATCCTACCATCATGCAAAACAGTTACAGGTTTTTGTTTCACAGTCATCTGGCAGGACGGTAGTACTTCCCTGGGTGGTTGCTGTCTACCAACCTACTACCTACAATACAATATTAAAGAAACATATTAGAGACGTTATTTTCATATAGTCGGACTTGAGTCCTGGAAATGGGAAGTACAATGCCTGCACTTTAAAGGAGGGGTTTGGGATATTGGCAATTTGGAGGGATATGTTGTGTATCTTTATATGTGTATGCTTCTAAACTGTTGTATTCTGAGCACCTCTGCAAAAACAGTGATAATGTGTGAGTGTGGTGAAAGTGTTGAATGATGATCAAAGTATTTTCTTTTTGGGGATTTTCTTTCTTTTTTGGGTCACTCTGCCTCGGTGGGAGACGGCTGACTTGTTGGAGAGAAAAAAAAAAAAACAAAAAAAAAAATAGAGACATTTTGAGTCCTGGCCTAACAAAATCAACTCTAGTCAAGGAATGTCAGTTTTGTTCAGCCAGTATAGGACGACCCCACTTACACAGCAGATTAGGTTCCAGTTACCACTGTAAAGTAAAAATCTCTGTAAAGTGAATCATAGCATTTTTTCACTTTCAAATGCATTATAACATGTTTACACTATCATTTATTAGGTGAGCAACAGAGGTAGGCCTAAAATGCATATACAGTACACACATTACTTACCTTAAAATATTTTCATCCTTAGCTTATAGCAAGTGGAGAATATATTGTAGGAAGTCTGGATAAATGAAGGATGGGTATAATTGAAAAACTGCTGTACAGTGGACCCCCGCATAACGATCACCTCCGAATGCGACCAATTATGTAAGTGTATTTATGTAAGTGCGTTTGTGCGTGTATGTTTGGGGGTCTGAAATGGACTAATCTACTTCACAATATTCCTTATGGGAACAAATTCGGTCAGTACTGGCACCTGAACATACTTCTGGAGTGAAAAAATATCGTTAACCGGGGGTCCACTGTATTAGCAAAATGCTGTAAAGCACAACGCTGTAAAGTGGGGCCCTCCTGAACTGTCTCAAATAGTCATGTCATTTGAAGTTCATTAACCCGTAAACGGTCCAAACGTATATATACGTTTTTTCAACATTTGAAAGTATGTAAAAAAAGTAGATCTTCTTTTTGTTTTTCTACATTTGAAAATGTGTAAAAAACTTCGATCTACTTTTTTTTTGTTATATATTTTGTTATATATGTAGGTAGTAGGTTGGTAGACAGCAACCACCCAGGGAGGTACTACCGTCCTGCCAAGTGAGTGTAAAACGAAAGCCTGTAATTGTTTTACATGATGGTAGGATTGCTGGTGTCTTTTGTCTGTCTCATAAATATGCAAGATTACAGGTACGTCTTGCTACTTCTACTTACACTTAGGTCACACTACACATACATGTACACGTTTATTTATACACACTCATCTGAGTTTTCTTTGATTTTATCTTAATAGTTCTTGGTCTTATTACTTTTCCTTTTATATCCATGGGGAAGTGGAATAAGAATCTTTCCTCCGTAAGCCATGCGTGTTGTAAAAGTCAACTAAAATGCCGGGAACAATGGGCTTAGTAACCCCTTTTCCTGTAAAGATTACTAAAAAGAATAAGAAGAAGAAAATTGTCAAAGTGGGAAGTCTGAATGTGCGTGGATGTTGTGCAAATGATACGAAAGAGATGATTGTGGATGTTATGAATGAGAAGAAACTGGATGTCCTGGCTTTAAGTAAAAACAAAGCTGAAGGGGGTGGGAGAGTTTCAATGGAGAGGAATAAATGGGATTAGGTCAGGGGTTTCAAATAGAGTTAGAGCTAAAGAAGGAGTAGCAATAATTTTTGAAGGATAAGCTATGGCAGGAAAAGAGGGACTACAAATGTATAAATTCAAGGATTATGTGGAGTAAAATAAAGATAGGATGTGAAAAGTGGGTTATAGTAAGCATGTATGCACCTGGAGAAGAGAGAAGTGTAGAGGAGAGAGAGAGATTCTGGGAAATGTTGAGTGAATGCGTGGGGAGTTTTGAATCAAGTGTGAGAGTAATGGTGGTTGGGGATTTCAATGCTAAAGTGGGTAAAAATGTTATGGAGGGAGTAGTAGGTAAATTTGGGGTGCCAGGGGTAAATGTAAATGAGGAGCCTTTAATTGAGCTATGTGTAGAAAGAAATTTGGTAATAAGTAACACATATTTTATGAAAAAGAGGATAAATAAATATACAAGGTATGATGTAGCACGTAATGAAAGTAGTTTGTTAGATTATGTATTGGTGGATAAAAGGTTGATGGGGAGGCTCCAGGATGTACATGTTTATAGAGGGGCAACTGATATATCGGATCATTATTTAGTTGTAGCTACAGTTAGAGTAAGAGGTAGTTTGGGAAAAGAGGAAGGTGGCAACAAAAAGAAAAGGGAGGGTGAAAAGTGTATAAACTAAGGGAGGGGAAGTTCGGGCGAGATATAAGCGCTATTGGCAGAAAGGGGGTAGTGAAAGATGAGTATGGGGGGTGAAGGGGGGGGGTAGTTTAAAAATGCAGAATTGGGAATGTGGGGAAAGAATTTTGGGTTTATTGGGGGAGGGGAAAGAGGAGTGTTGGTGGAATGATGAAGAAAAGGGTGTAAAAAAAGAGAAAAAGGTAGTTAGAGGGGTTTTTTTACCCAAGTGAAAAGAAGAGCGGGAGTATATGGAGAGTAAAAAATAAAAGGGGGGTGGGGAAGAGTGCAAAAGGAGGGCAGAGAAAGAGTGGGAGAGGCATGTCAAGAAATTTTTAAAGAAAATAAGAAAAAATTTTGGAGGAGTTTAAAAAGTTTAAAAAAGCCTTTGGGAAAGTATGGATTTGTCATTAAAAAAGAGTAGGGGGTTAGTAGATGGGGAGAGGGAGGTATTTGGTAGTGGCAAGAATATTTTGAGGAACTTTTAAATGTTAAGGAAGAAAGGGGAGGCGGGTAATTTTTCATGCACTGGGGCCCGGGGAGGTTACCATCTTTTTGGAGTGGGGGAATGTAAGTTGGGGGGGTTCTGAGGCATTACGTAGAAGAAAGGGGGAAAGCAGCAAGTGGGCAGGAAAATTAAAAACAGGGGGGGATTAGTGTTGGGGTGCTTGGGACTTTTGTTTTAAAAAATGTATGAAAGACGGGGAAGGGGTACCCAGGGATTGGGGGGAGAGCGTATGTCCCTTTATATTAAAGGGAAAGGGGACAAAAAAGGGTTGTAAAAAAATTTTAGAGGTAAGTTTATGAGTATACCGGAAAAGTATATGGTAGGGTTATAATTGAAAGAATTTTGGGTAAGACAGAATTTTGAATCGGGAGCAAGGAGGCTTCAGATGGGGAGGGGGTTTAGATCAAGTGTTACAATTTAAGCATTATTAACTAATTTTAAAAAAAGGTGGGAAAATTTTTTTTTGCATTTAGGATTTTGAAAAGGCATATGATTTGGTGGATAAGGAGCAATGTGGCAATGTTGAAATATATGGAATAGGTGGTAAATTATAAATGTGTAAAGAGCTTTTATGAGGATAGTGAGGCTCAGGGGAGAGTGTGTAGAAGAGAGGGAGAATACTTCCCGGTAAAAGTAGGTCTTAGACAGGGATGTGTAATGTCACCAGGCTGTTTAATATATTTATAGATGGGGTTGTAAAAGAAGTAAATGCTAGGGTGTTCAGGAGAGGGGTGGGATTAAATTATGGGGAATCAAATTCAGAATGGGAATTGACACAGTTACTTTTTGCTGATGATACTGTGCTTATGGGAGATTCTAAAGAAAAATTGCAAAGGTTAGTGGATGAGTTTGAGAATGTGTGTAAAGGTAGAAAGTTGAAAGTGAACATAGAAAAGAGTAAGGTGATGAGGGTATCAAATGATTTAGATAAAGAAAAATTGGATATCAAATTGGGGAGGAGGAGTATGGAAGAATGTGAATGTTTTCAGATACTTAGGAGTTGACGTGTCGGCGGATGGATTTATGAAGGATGAGGTTAATCATAGAATTGATGAGGGAAAAAAGGTGAGTGGTGCGTTGAGGTATATGTGGAGTCAAAAAACGTTATCTATGGAGGCACAAGAAGGGAATGTATGAAAGTATAGTAGTACCAACACTCTTATATGGATGTGAAGCTTGGGTGGTAAATGCAGCAGCGAGGAGAAGGTTGGAGGCAGTGGAGATGTCCTGTCTAAGGGCAATGTGTGGTTGTAAATATTATGCAGAAAATTCGGAGTGTGGAAATTAGGAGAAGGTGTGGAGTTAATAAAAGCATTAGTCAGAGGGCAGAAGAGGGGTTGTTGAGGTGGTTTGGTCATTTAGAGAGAATGGATCAAAGTAGAATGACATGGAAAGCATATAAATCTATAGGGGAAGGAAAGAGGGGTAGGGGTCGTCCTCGAAAGGGTTGGAAAGAGGGGGTTAAAGGAGGTTTTGTTGGCGAGGGGCTTGGACTTCCAGCAAGCGTGCATGAGCGTGTTAGATAGGAGTGAATGGAGACGAATGATACTTGGGACCTGACGATCTGTTGGAGTGTGAGCAGGGTAATATTTAGTGAAGGGATTCAGGGAAACCGGTTATTTTCATATAGTCGGACTTGAGTCCTGGAAATGGGAAGTACAATGCCTGCACTTTAAAGGAGGGGTTTGGGATATTGGCAGTTTGGAGGGATATGTTGTGTATCTCTATACGTATATGCTTCTAAGCTGTTGTATTCTGAGCACCTCTGCAAAAGCAGTGATAATGTGTGAGTGTGGTGAAAGTGTTGAATGATGATGAAAGTATTTTCTTTTGGGGATTTTCTTTCTTTTTTTTGGGTCACCCTGCCTCGGTGGGAGACGACCGACTTGTTGAAAAAAAAAAAAAAAAAAAAATTGAAAATATGTAATAGGTAGTAGGTTGGTAAACAGCAACCGCCCAGGGAGGTACTACCGTCCTGCCAAGTGAGTGCAAAACGGAAACCTGTAATTGTTTTACATGATGGTAGGATTGCTGCTGTCCATTTTTCTTTCTCATCAACATGCAAGGTTTCAGGTACGTCTTGCTACTTCTACTTACACTTAGGTCACTACACATACATGTACAAGCATATATGTATATACACACCCCTCTGGGTTTTCTTCCATTTTTCTTACTAGTTCTTGTTCTTGTTTATTTCCTCTTACCTCCATGGGGAAGTGGAACAGAATTCTTCCTCCGTAAGCCATGCGTGTTGTAAGAGGTGACTAAAATGCCGGGAGCAAGGGGCTAGTAACCACTTCTCCTGTATATATTACTAAATGTAAAAGGAGAAACTTTCGTTTTTCCTTTTGGGCCGCCCCGCCTCGGTGGGATACGGCCGGTGTGTTGAAAGAAGAAAGAATGTAAAAAAACTTAGATCTACTTTTGTAGCACTACACATGTGAACGTAGATCTGCTTGGACCGTTTATGGGTTAATTGTTCTTCTTCAGGTATTATTGTTTGTGAAATACAGTAGGACAGCATTATCCACTAATAACCCAAAATTGAGAGAGGAAACTAGACGTTATCGAGCCACAATTGTGACTTAATGTTCCAGGACGAAGTCAAACTCTTAAGTTTCCTCTCCAAACTGTGCATTAACGATGAATTGTTCCAGTCATGGTTTTGCGACTCAATCTTCGAAGGACTGACAACTAATTCTGAAAATGAAAACTCAGTATACAAGACTTACAGATTCAGGGCTGTCTTATTTGGCACTATCAGTTCACCTTTCTTGCTCCAGGCTACCACTGACTACCAAGTGACTCACTGCAATAGTGCTCAAAGATTTACTAAAGACCTTACTTTACGCAGACAAACAAAGAGGCTAAATCCCTTGCCTTCAGAGCCGAGAATGAAATGGTGGACATCAGGGCCAGCGGAGAGCCTGGGACCCGCTGTGTAACGCTCCACTGTGCCCACCGGGGTCACCACCTTCACCTGTACCACAAGGTCTTCAATATTTCCATAAATGTTTTTCTTCATCCCTGAAGCTCTGGTTGCAACCCATCCACCAAGACTAAGTAACAAACAAAGTAAAAGGCAATTACAGTAATTCTGGATAAAACAGATACAATACATACAAAATTACAATAAGCACTAGAGTTACTAGAAAAAGACAATTTTCAATGCAAACTGACCTTAAAAATTAAAATGAGGAGGATAGATCAGCAGGCATGCATGAGCGTGTTTGATAGGAGTGAATGGAGACAAATGGTTTTTAATACTTGACGTGCTGTTGGAGTGTGAGCAAAGTAACATTTATGAAGGGATTCAGGGAAACCGGCAGGCCGGACTTGAGTCCTGGAGATGGGAAGTACAGTGCCTGCACTCTGAAGGAGGGGTGTTAATGTTGCAGTTTAAAAACTGTAGTGTAAAGCACCCTTCTGGCAAGACAGTGATGGAGTGAATGATGGTGAAAGTTTTTCTTTTTCGGGCCACCCTGCCTTGGTGGGAATCGGCCAGTGTGATAATAAAAAAAAAAAAAAAAATAGATCATTTCACAGCAGGGATTAAGATTAACCCTTAAACTGTCCAAGCAGATCTACGTTCACATGCGTAGTGCCCCAAAAGTAGATCTACGTTCTTTTTTTACATATTTTCAAATATAACAAAAAAAGAGTAGATCTAAGTTTTTTACACGTTTTCAAATGTAAAAAAAAAAAAATCTACTTTCTTTACACACTTTCAGACGTTGAAAAAACATAGATCTACGTTTGGACAGTTCAAGGGTTAAAATATTACTCTCAGATAAATTAAAAAAGAATCATAGCAAGATTAACATCAAAACACTAAAATCAACAAATAAAAGAAGGAAATGCAAGTACAATACTGCAAGGAGAAATTCTGAGTCTTTTATTTTTGTTGATGGTAAGGATTGCATGGGATTTTGAGGAGTCCAGGGACAATTTACAATCCTGTACAGTAGACAGTCCATGAACAATGGAGTCCAGAAAGGCAGTACGAAGCTTATACCAAGCCAAACATGTATATTAAGTCATATAATCTTGAAATTATTGACAACTGCTATTCAAAGGTAGTTTATTCTGTACCAAACCCAGAAATTTTTTAATTTTTTAGCAACAAAAGCAAGTAAAGTGATCAAATTAATGTACTGTGCATTTATGGTAAATTTTGTATATCAAAGGCCATTTGAACCGAGAAGTATGAAAATGAAGGAGACAGCATGTGCTGTAAGCTACATAAAAAACTTACTCCAGTAATTTCTTACCTAGAAAATTCATAGGAATCAGGCTCGTGGCCGGTAGTGTAGCCTCGGACATGAAGTTGTTTTTCAAGATCTTGCCCAATAATACCAGCTTCAATCCTCGCTGTTAAATTCTTTTCATCTAACCACAAGATACGACACTGAAAAACATGTACAGAATTAAGTACGTAACTTCTTTTATTTTAATGAATGGTTTAGAGAACTAACACGATGATAAATAAGACACTTGTACAACACTTGGTAATCTTTATTCTTATAACACTTCACCAGTCAGTGGCTCCTTTAGTCCGATGCAGAACAACGGTGGAAGATGAGGAGGAGTTTGAGGTAATCAGTCCCTCAGCCTGGAGTCGACGTGTTCAGCCCATGGACAGAAAATATCAAGTCCAGACTGAGGGACAGATTACCTCAAACTCTTCATCTTCCACCATTCTTCTCTGTATTGGACAGAAGAAGCCACTGGCTGGCAAAACATTTCCACAATCAGAATTCCCAAATGTTACCCAAGTGTCTCATTCTTCAAAATCCTTTGATATTGAAAAGAAAATGCTTTCCCATGCAACAAGTTTTCACCACTCACCATCTGTGAGGTATCTAGGGACACTATCATTCTGCTCTCCTCTTCTGGGCATAACAAAGCTCCGGAGACGCTGGTGCCGCCACCGAATGGTATGAGAGCAGTCTGGCATCGACAAGCCAAGTCGACAAGTTTCTCTACCTCACTATGGTTTTCTGGAGGAAAAAAAATAACGGCCAGGTAACATGAACAGAAGTCAGAAGAAAGTAGAACAAGATAAATATGTGCAACTTCAAGAGACCTAACCAATTAATAATTCTGGCCCCTTATACAGTGATTCTGGGTATATGTACAGTTATCCTGGGCCCCTACACAGTGATCCTGGGCCCCTACACAGTGATCCTGGGCCCCTATACAATGGAACTTGTGACATTTTAATTCATATTAACACATCACAAGTTAGGCTTAAGCTTATCTGAAATGCTCTGCATAACCATGGGCTTTCTACATGCATTCAATTGTCACGAATTCCTGTATAAACAATGTGTCATGTGGAAATAGACTGAGATTTGAATACTTACTAGGCCATACTACTAAATCTGGGATTCTTGGAAACATTCCTTCTCTAAGTGTGAATATTTCTGCCAGTGTGTGGCCATGAGCACGGAAGAGCCGGTCCTCTCCCTCTAAACTATGGGTTATCCCCAATGTTTGTATTTCATCTAGGAAGTCTGGAAAAATAAGTGTGAACACTGATTATCTTAGAAGAAATAGAAATATTTATTCGTAAAATAACAAATTACAGATCTATAATACACTGCAGTATACAGCACAGAATTTATGCTATACAGTGGACCCCCGGTTTACGATCACCTCCCAATGCGACCAATTATGTAAGTGTATTTATGTAAGTGCGTTTGTACGTGTATGTTTGGGGGTCTGAAATGGACTAATCTAATTCACAATATTCCTTATGGGAACAAATTCGTTCAGTAATGGCACCTGAACATACTTCTGGAATGAAATAATATCGTAAACCGGGGGTCCACTGTATTTGAGACATCTTCCATGGGAAAGTGGAGAAGAATCTTTCATCCGTAAGCCATACATGTCATAAGAGGTGATCAAAATACTGGGAGCAAAGGGCTAGTGACCCCTTCTCCTGTATATATAGAAAAACTTAACAGTTTTCTTCTTTTTCGGGTCATTGCCTCGGTCAAAGACGGCCAGTATACTTAAAAAAAAAAAAAAAAAAAAAAAAAAGTGCTCTCTCCAAATTTGTCAAGCATAAAAGTATTTCTTTGTTTTTGAGTGGGATGGTCAGTTGTTCTATTCATAATTATACCTGAATTTAAAAGTGAACTTATGTTGGTCCTGATACGACCTGAGAATGAAGATGTATCAATGACTCATGTGGGTTTGGTGATGAAGGGTATTAAGAAACAAGAATGCATTAAAGAAGTCTGACATGTGGGAATCATTTAACTTACAAACATTGATGTTAAAAGATCCAGAAATTATTAAATGGTATTTGCCAAATTTTTTGTTTATCATCATACTATTTTTAAGGTTGTCACCGAAGCTTTAGCAAACTGGTGTGAGGGAGTCTGTACATTATGACAATTATTACATTATAAGTACTGGTTGTGGTGAACTAAGCACATATATATTCACCTCATTCATCACTGGCATTTACCATATTACAAATGAATTAAGAGAAAATAGCACTATGTTCACCTTTCTTGTTTCTTCCACTTGTGGCTAGCTGTATAACCAGGAATGTTCAATACTGTACACTAATGAGGTCATGTAATAACCTGGCCACTCAACAACAAACACTTTGTTACTCGCTGATTCTGACAGTGTTATATTGTCTTTACACAAATAACCCGCACATAAGAGAGAAGCTTTGTCAATGGTCCAAGTCGGACCGAAACGTCGTCGTAAGCTTCTCTCTTTTATGTGCGGGTTATTTGTGTATCGTTCCAGTCACGGTAATGTGCCTTTTTTGTTATTTATATTGTCTTTGCTGAGGAACTGTGTGTTAAAACTAAAGAAGATGAAGAAAAACATTTGAAAGAATAAGGAAGAATATCAAATCCATGAAAATAAAATGAAAGTAAACTGGGAGAGAAAGGTTAGGGGTTATACAGTGGCTCAAGGAATAGTAGCCATGCAGATCTGATCCAAGGAGAGGACAGACAGCTCCAAGTCTTTGGATCAAGAACAATTTACCATTGTCAAGGCACCTCCTGTGAGGGGAAAAATGGCAACAAAAAATTTTGAATTACAAACCTTGCTGTATAGTTGGTTGAGGAAAGTGTTGAGGTTGAGGCGGAGGTTGAGGAGGGGTGCAATCATCAAAGTTGACCCCTAAAGTCTCCCTCACCCAGTTGGCAAAGTGAGGCAAAACCAGATTGCCAATTTTGTACCTGGAGAAGTAACAATAGATGTGACTGGAACAATGTAACCAACATATAGGAGACAGAAGCTTATGATGATGTGTGTTAGTGTAGCTAGTTAATTAAGGGCCCAAGTTGGACCAAAACCTAATTATAAATGTCTCTATTTACAGGTTATTTGTGTACAAGATGTAGAGAATAAAAAGGCACAATACCATGACTGGAACAACACACTAATAACTTGCACGAAGGAGAATGTAACTTATGAAGACATTTTGGTCCAACTTGGACCATTAATAGATATGGTCCAAGTCGGTCTGAAACATTACCATAAGTTTCATTCTTCTATATGAGGGTTGTGTGTGTTTAACACTAGATGTAGCTCACATACGTTAAGGAAAGCAAGCGAGGAAGCTACAGTATCCTTCACAGTATATTTCATTATAAACGGGTATGTCATTCTTTAGCAAATGTGTGTGTGCCCTGGATGGTTGCTGTATACTAACCTACTACCTGTCACTATAGTACTACTACTATACTAAACCCTCAGTTAAATGGAGTGTATGGATGGCAATGACACTCGTGATGGACATTAGAGATTATTTTACCATAACAACAAGAAAGGACAATTCTCTAAGTAATGGACTTTGTCCATTTTTCAGTCAAATGACCCAGCAGATTTTGTGGCCATATTTCCAAGGTGTCTTTCGTGTTTCCTTTTAGGCCGCCCCGCCTTGGTGGGATACAGCCAGTGTGTTGAAAGAAGATTTCCAAGGTGTATTAAATCAAGGATTTGCAATGTGTGTAAATTACTGTAAATATGTTTGCCTCTAAAAAAGTGTTATATTAACTGCTCACCTGTTTCCTGTAAAGGATACATAGTAATCCTTCTCCTTGTGAACCACAAACTGTGAATCTTTATAACCCCAGCCATTCCATTTCAGCACTTCTTGTCTGTTGAGAAAAAAAAATTATATAGTGATTTATAGCAGTATTTATAAAAATGTTACAAAGATCACTGTAAATAAATTTTCAACATGCTTTCCCTATTACCAATAGGCCTATTTCTCTGCACACTACATAGCCGTGATGCTAAATACTGTGGCAAGTGCTGAAGCCTAATTATTAGTCTTTGTACCTGCTAACTTCATGTCTATTATCTGCCTAATTAATACCATATCCTTGGCCTAACTAAACAATTCTAAATTTTCTTAATTTTACTAGTTGTACAATATATTTAGTATTGTGAACTGCTTGACTGGGTAGCCAAAATTGCAAGTCAATTAACCATTCTTCAATTTACACCTTGTATTCAATGGCAAGCCTTTTTTGATGAAAGCCTATTTATTTTCATACTTATTATCATTATTAAGGTGAAAGTGCTAAAGCACTAAGGGTCACACAACACCTGGGAAATGGAAAGCAATCAAGTTTGATTGAAGGGGAGAACAGGTCCAATTTCTTGAATCAAGGGCCTATCACCAGTATCAAGGTACCTTCCTTAAGGAAGAAAGCCTAAGTTTGCCCAAACAGCTCTTTCTAGTTTCTACACGTCATATTTCACAGCTTTTCTGGAAGCTGACAGACAAGAGAACTTTGCTAATAAGCACCATTTCAAGTAAATATAATATGATTGTTCGTGAGGCAGTAGGTAAAATGAAAGGGGGTAAGGCAGCCGGGATTGATGGGATAAAGATAGAAATGTTAAAAGCAGGTGGGGATATAGTTTTGGAGTGGTTGGTGCAATTATTTAATAAATGTATGGAAGAGGGTAAGGTACCTAGGGATTGGCAGAGAGCATGCATAGTTCCTTTGTATAAAGGCAAAGGGGATAAAAGAGAGTGCAAAAATTATAGGGGGATAAGTCTGTTGAGTCGTGCTGTTGGAGTGTGAGCAAAGTAACATTTATGAAGGGATTCAGGGAAACCGGCAGGCCGGACTTGAGTCCTGGAGATGGGAAGTACAGTGCCTGCACTCTGAAGGAGGGGTGTTAATGTTGCAATTTAAAAACTGTAGTGTAAGGCACCCTTCTGGCAAGACAGTGATGGAGTGAATGATGGTGAAAGTTTTTCTTTTTCGGGCCACCCTGCCTTGGTGGGAGTCGGCCGGTGTGATAATAAAAAAAAATAATAATAAGTCTGTTGAGTATACCTGGCAAAGTGTATGGTAGAGTTATTATTGAAAAATTAAGAGTAAGACGGAGAATAGGATAGCAGATGAACAAGGAGGCTTTAGGAAAGGTAGGGGGTGTGTGGACCAGGTGTTTACAGTGAAACATATAAGTGAACAGTATTTAGATAAGGCTAAAGAGGTCTTTGTGGCATTTATGGATTTGGAAAAGGCGTATGACAGGGTGGATAGGGGGGCAATGTGGCAGATGTTGCAGGTGTATGGTGAAGGAGGTAGGTTACTGAAAGCAGTGAAGAGTTTTTACGAGGATAGTGAGGCTCAAGTTAGAGTATGTAGGAAAGAGGGAAATTATTTCCCAGTAAAAGTAGGCCTTGGACAAGGATGTGTGATGTCACCATGGTTGTTTAATATATTTATAGATGGGGTTGTAAGAGAAGTAAATGCGCGGGTCTTGGCAAGAGGCGTGGAGTTAAAAGATAAAGAATCACACATAAAGTGGGAGTTGTCACAGTTGCTCTTTGCTGATGACACTGTGCTCTTGGGAGATTCTGAAGAGAAGTTGCAGAGATTGGTGGATGAATTTGGTAGGGTGTGCAAAAGAAGAAAATTGAAAGTGAATACAGGAAAGAGTAAGGTTATGAGGATAACAAAAAGATTAGGTGATGAAAGATTGGATATCAGATTGGAGGGAGAGAGTATGGAGGAGGTGAATGTATTCAGATATTTGGGAGTGGATGTGTCAGCGGATGGGTCTATGAAAGATGAGGTGAATCATAGAATTGATGAGGGGAAAAGGGTGAGTGGTGCACTTAGGAGTCTGTGGAGACAAAGAACTTTGTCCTTGGAGGCAGAGAGGGGAATGTATGAGAGTATAGTTTTACCAACGCCCTTATATGGGTGTGAAGCATGGGTGATGAATGTTGCAGCGAGGAGAAGGCTGGAGGCAGTGGAGATGTCATGTCTGAGAGCAATGTGTGGTGTGAATACAATGCAGAGAATTCGTAGTTTGGAAGTTAGGAGGAGGTGCGGGATTACCAAAACTGTTGTCCAGAGGGCTGAGGAAGGGTTGTTGAGGTGGTTCGGACATGTGGAGAGAATGGAGCGAAACAGAATAACTTCAAGAGTGTATCAGTCTGTAGTGGAAGGAAGGCAGGGTAGGGGTCAGCCTAGGAAAGGTTGGAGGGAGGGGGTAAAGGAGGTTTTGTGTGCGAGGGGCTTGGACTTCCAGCAGGCATGCGTGAGCGTGTTTGATAGGAGTGAATGGAGACAAATGGTTTTTAATACTTGACGTGCTGTTGGAGTGTGAGCAAAGTAACATTTATGAAGGGGTTCAGGGAAACCGGCAGGCCGGACTTGAGTCCTGGAGATGGGAAGTACAGTGCCTGCACTCTGAAGGAGGGGTGTTAATGTTGCAGTTTAAAAACTGTAGTGTAAAGCACCCTTCTGGCAAGACAGTAATGGAGTGAATGATGGTGAAAGTTTTTCTTTTTCGGGCCACCCTGCCTTGGCGGGAATCGGCCAGTGTGATAATAAAAAAAATAAAAATAATATATATATGTAGTATATATATATGTATATATATGTAGTATATATGTAGTATATATATGTAGTATATACGTAGTAGGTTGGTAGACAGCAACCATCCAGGGAGGTACTACCATCCAGCCACGTGAATGTAAAACAAAAGCCTGTAATTGTTTTACATGATGGTAGGATTGCTGGTGTCTTTTGTCTGTCTCATAAATATGCAATATTACAGGTATGTCTTGCTACTTCTACTTACACTTAGGTCACACTACACATACATGTACAAGTTTATTTATACACACTCATCTGAGTTTTCTTTGATTTTATCTTAATAGTTCTTGGTGTTATTACTTTTCCTTTTATATCCATGGGGAAGTGGAATAAGAATCTTTCCTCCATAAAAGTCAACTAAAATGCTGGGAACAATGGGCTAGTAACCCCTTTTCCTGTAAAGATTACTAAAAAGAATAAGAAGAAGAAAATTGTCAAAGTGGGAAGTCTGAATGTGTGTGGATGTTGTGCAAATAATAAGAGAGATGATTGTGGATGTTATGAATGAGAAGAAGCTGGATGTCCTGGCTTTAAGTGAAATGAAGCTGAAGGGGGTGGGAGAGTTTCAATGGAGAGGAATAAATGGGATTAGGTCAGGGGTTTCAAATAGAGTTAGAGCTAAAGAAGGAGTAGCAATAATGTTGAATGATAAGCTATGGCAGGAAAAGAGGGACTATAAATGTATTAATTCAAGGATTATGTGGAGTAAAATAAAGATTGGATGTGAAAAGTGGGTTATAGTAAGCGTGTATGCACCTGGAGAAGAAAGAAGTGTAGAGGAGAGAGATTTTGGGAAATGTTGAGTGAATGCGTGGGGAGTTTTGAATCAAGTGTGAGAGTAATGGTGGTTGGGGATTTCAATGCTAAAGTGGGTAAAAATGCTATGGAGAGAGTAGTAGGTAAATTTGGGGTGCCAGGGGTAAATGTAAATGGGGAGCCTTTAATTGAGCTATGTGTAGAAAGAGATTTGGTAATAAGTAATACATATTTTATGAAAAAGAGGATAAATAAATATACAAGGTATGATGTAGCACATAATGAAAGTAGTTTGCTAGATTATGTATTGGTGGATAAAAGGCTAATGGGTAGGCTCCAGGATGTACATGTTTATAGAGGGGCAACTGATATATCGGATCATTATTTAGTTGTAGCTACAGTTAGAGTAAGAGGTAGATGGGAAAAGAGGAAGGTGGTAACAACAAGTAAGAGGGAGGTGAAAGTGTATAAACTTGGGAAAAGAGGAAGGTGGTAACAACAAGTAAGAGGGAGGTGAAAGTGTATAAACTAAGGGAGGAGGAAGTTCGGGGGAGATATAAGTGACTGTTGGCAGAAAGGTGGGCTAGTGCAAAGATGAGTAGTGGGGGGGGGTTGAAGAGGGTTGGAATAGTTTTAAAAATGCAGTATTAGAATGTGGGGCAGAAGTTTGTGGTTATAGGAGGGTGGGGGCAGGTGGAAAGAGGAGTGATTGGTGGAATGATGAAGTAAAGGGTGTGATAAAAGAGAAAACGTTAGCTTATGAGAGGTTTTTACAAAGCAGAAGTGTTATAAGAAAAGCAGAGTATATGGACAGTAAAAGAAAGGTGAAGAGAGTGGTGAGAGAGTGCAAAAGGAGAGCAGATGATAGTGGGAGAAGCACTGTCAAGAAATTTTAATGAAGATAAGAAAAAATTTTGGAGTGAGTTAAACAAGTTAAGAAAGCCTAGGGAAAGTATGGATTTGTCAGTTAAAAACAGAGTAGGGGAGTTAGTAGATGGGGAGAGGGAGGAATTAGGTAGATGGCGAGAATATTTTGAGGAACTTTTAAATGTTGAGGAAGAAAGGGAGGTGGTAATTTCATGCACTGGTCAGGGAGGTATACCATCTTTTAGGAGTGAAGAAGAGCAGAATGTAAGTGTGGGGGAGGTACGTGAGGCATTACGTAAAATGAAAGGGGGTAAAGCAGCTGGAACTGATGGGATCATGACAGAAATGTTAAAAGCAGGGAGGGATATAGTGTTGGAGTGGTTGGTATTTTTGTTTAATAAATGTATGAAAGAGGGGAAGGTACCTAGGGATTGGCAGAGAGCATGTATAGTCCCTTTATATAAAGGGAAAGGGGACAAAAGAGATTGTAAAAATTATAGAGGAATAAGTTTATTGAGTATACCAGGAAAAGTGTATGGTAGGGTTATAATTGAAAGAATTAGAGGTAAGACAGAATGTAGGATTGCGGATGAGCAAGGGGGTTTCAGAGTGGGTAGGGGATG